GAACTTCTTCGATAGCAAAAATATTGAAGGAATCACCAAAGTAGAACGCCTGTAACACGGAATTATCAAGATCACGTTTGCAGAGCTTGGACAGGCCATTCACCAATCAGAGCACAGATCGTCTCCCTCACGCAAGCGATGATTAAGCCACTGCATCCTTCTTCTCCTAAAATTCACTTCCATCCTCCCTTTATCCTTCCCCTGAACCTTCTTCCCCCGTGTCACTAGTCTTTATTCATTCAGTCATGATGAAGAATTTGGGTTAAAGTGACGACGAAGCTTTGAGGTTCAAGTCTGAACGGGGAACTTCCCCAAATTCTTCGTCGTGGGTTTCAGAACATAAGGCACGTTAAGTGTAAAGCGCCTTTTTTCCTTTGATTGTACCGTACCTGCATGACGGTCATCATCTGGCGTCTGGAGACCTTAGGCGGGAAGAACACACAATGGTTCGCTATGTCTGCTGCTGTTGTTAGCGACTATACAAGACTATTTTCATATAAATGGTTAAGTAATACGAAAGATATTTATGAAATTGTACTCACTTAGAGAACTTGTGAAACAGCGTATGTTGGAGTTGAGGGCAAGGCCACATTTTGGTGTCCAGGAAGCATCTCTCATCACTGGGCTCCCTCTCCTGACCTGTTGTTCATGGTGGAGGTAAACATTATATTACTGAACTAAAATATATTCATTACTTGTAATGCTCAGAGGTAATGAACAAATAGTTACAATTCCTTTGCATTTCTAATATAAGATTAATCGATTGATGAAGTAACTTGACGTCTCAACAAGTGAACCAACAATGAAAATTTTACTGGAAGTGCCAATTTTTTCCTAAAGAATATTTTTTTTTACAATAAATTACAAGTGTTTATTGAAAATGCTAATAGCAAAATGTTAATTTCACCTGTTGCAGATGAGTAACCATTACATAACCAGTCCAAGCTATGGAAAAAGACCCATCAACCCTCATGAACTCCATTTGACAAAGTATTCGTTTACCTGGGAAATAAGAAAACAATATTAAAGAGTTATCCCAGTGACAAGTGCAACAACTGTGAAATTGATGACACATAAATGAACATAATTTTCTTTTCTTATTTTCTTTTTGCGAAGTGATGAACGAGCTAATTAAGTGGCTCAAAATTATTCTACCTTAAAATCATTAAACTCTAGTCATAATACTAAGGAACGAAATACTGCTTTGGTACAAAAGAAATGTGTGGATCAATCATGAAGGGTTTTGAGCTTTTACACAGTACAATGTGGAGTTTGAGTATTTTGATGTAATTAATATGTTCAGAAAAGAGCAAATAAAACTAAGACGGGGGAAAGAAACCAAAATGTCCTGCTTTTATGCTAAAGAAAACTGAAGGTCTAAAGAGGAGGGAGAAGAGGATACTTGAGGAGAGTAAAGTCAACTGCGTGTGATGAGTAAGAGCGAAATATGTAATGGATCAGACTACGAGTGGGATATGACATTTTTATTTATTATTTTATCATTTTCACCACTTATCAGCTTACTAGCCGTACGGGTAGTTGGTCTATTGGAGTCGCCGCCTTACTTCTATCCAGTAATAGTATAAGAGGAGACCGGAATCCGATAAACCTGTGGTGTGTCTGGGCCAAGCTGGATTCGAACCATTGACATATTGGTGAGAGATACATGTGCTACCACTGTAGGGAGTAAGAAAACGGAGGAAGGGAGAACTTTTGGACCTGATTAACTGTATTTAAAACTTCTCTGTAAAGACTGTAAAGCTATATTTCATCTGGAAAAAATCAGAAAGTGAAAACAATCAAACGTTGACTGGATCACCCATGTGTATTACTATGTATTGCTATTGTATAAGTGTTTTACAGTGTACACGGAAGTTCACTAGAACTCACACTCCACAAAATATAATAATTCATTCGGTTTATACATTTAATTATCAGTGACATGCTAGACATTCCTCCTTGGAGTTTCTAAAGATACTAATAGGCATGTGCCGGTCAGCCTGAAGTGAGTTCAACCTGTGGAAGCATAAGTGGTTGTTGTATTCATTTGGACAATATATGTTGTATGGTAGCAAAGGAAACACAGGAAACTTTACTCCTAACGAAAGGTCAGGAGTAAATTTGTCTGTCTAATCCTGTGCTTCCTTTGCTGCCACACATTGTAAGTCGTTGTTATCATCAATATAGTTTCTGGCATTTACATGGGAAGTTCAGATTACATACGTATACATAAGCGTATGATGTTTGACCTAGTTTGAGTTCCATATATATGCCCGCCTTTTTTACACCGCTCAATCAATCCTACATTTTCATTTTTCTTACTGTATCCGTAGTTTACCGGGATGGGCTTGTCAGTAATAATGCCCCAGGGAGGACACTCTGCTATGTGTGTCTCCCTTAGTTCGTCAACGAGTAAAAAATAGAATTCCAATTACTCGTCAGAAGTCATCTACAGAATACAATACTGAACACATTTCTCGCCTCACTTATGGCTACTGGAATTTATCAAGAGCATGGGAATATTACCTCTTGCATGAGAACATTATCAAGAGCATTGGGACATTAACAAGAGCGTGGGAACATCAACAAGAGCGTAGGAACATTATCAAGGATGTGCGAAGATTAATAAGAGCGTGGGAACATTATCAAGAGCGTGGGGACATTATCAAGAGAGTGCGAATATTATCAAGTGCATCAAAACCGTGGGAGTAACAACGAGGGCGTGGGAAAATTATCCAGAGCGTGAGAACATTATCAATAACGTGGGAACATTTTCAAAAGCATGGTAACATTGTCAAGTGTTTGAAAAAACAACAAGAACGTAGGAATTTTCTCAAGAGCGTTGGAACATTACGAAGAGCGTTGGAAAAATAACAAGAGTGCGGCAGGTAACAACTTGATCTTATGTTTTGTCTTAGTTGTTCCTTAGTTGGCTGTAGTGATTGGCTCAACTGTGTTTCGTACTAAAGCTAAATTAAATGGGAGGATACAGGTATCTTCGAGATGCTTCATACTGTGCTGCAAAGTTCGACAGTTCCAAAGTTTGTTGCTTCATTTTCCCCGTTACTTTATTATATTTTGGGGGTAACTTCTGATATTACGTAATCCTGCTTTACAGTTTACTTCCCTGTGGCTAAGCTGACACTTTCTCTCCCAATAAGTCTTACATCTTATAAGAGTTACAAGACCCTCTCATGCTCTTTAATGTACTGAATCCTTTCTTTACTTAACTCCTAGACCGGATTGACTCCTTTCTCATTATATTTAAATAACCTAATGCTCGCTCTTCGCCATGAGTTAAACACGATGAAATGCAGTTTATAATACCTCATACACTAGATTCAAAGTTCCATAACAAAACATAAGAACTCCATGACAACAAGACACCTCCCTTCACTGACTGGCGAAAACACCTTCATATGCTCAGCTTACCAAGTGTCAACACTGTGCTGATAACATAATGAACAAGTGCCTCTGATCAGGTATTATGCTGATAACATAATGAACAAGTGCCTCTGATCAGGTATTAATCCATATTTACTTCCTAATAAAAAACTTAAGTATATTCTGTGAAAATATTAGATGTTATAGGTTTGCCCTCCTGTTAGGGGCAGTGCAGATTCGGCACAGACTTTCATTTCACCAACCAGAAGTTTGAGAACATTTCGCAGTAAGGTCGAAAGGGGTGTCTCGGGCGCAAACCGGTGACCCGAAGGAGAGGAAGCGAATGTTATATCCACTCGGCCGTGGCATCCCGTTAAATAAAGTTCGATTTCTACAATACCTCTAGAAATTGGATCATTGTACCTGTACTAGTGGTAATATTGTGACCAAGTTGAAATAGATAATGGGGATATGATCAGCTAGTTCCAGTTTTTGACACTAAAATTCTGCAGACCAGAGACCTGGTGTGCAGTCAACGGTCAGATAAACGTTGCAAAAAACACTCATTTAATTCATATTGGTATTCCTTCAGTTGTCGATTGCAAACGTCCCTAAAAACATAATAAACGTTTACACTCAAAGTGGTTGAATAACGACAGAGAAAAATATACTAGTCTTAATAAAGCGTTCCTGTTTGATGTTGTACCAAAAGCAAAAACCACACTGCATTCATTATATTATACCCATGAATATTACCCTCAAGGAATACAAGACTGTGTATGTCTCCAAGCGTTTGTGTGAAAGCCAATGTTTCCATATTAACGTTGCGAGCTCAATTCTGACCAAGTAGAATGTGTTATATTCTGCCCGCGATGTAAGTTTTCATGTTACAGTAGTTAACAAACAATATAATCGAGATGGATAATATGTGATATTTGAACGTTTTCTTCGTAGTGTTCAGTTACTGTAGGTCAGGTATCCTCTAGTCGTAAAAGTTGTGTTATCTTAACATTATCCTCTACCTATGATAGTCACCCTTGTTATGAATCTTACGAATCCTTGGCCAGTACCCAAAAAAGACTCCTGAATTATAAATCTTGAATATTTATTGTTTTTAACTATTTTGTGTTTACTTTCCTGGTCTCAATCATCCTTCAGAATTTCATCTACGCTTACGAAAGTTGTTGCAAACTGTACTTACACAAGAGTATTCACAACAGTGCACGTATAAAGCAAAATATGGAAGGTGGTGATTCAATATATCTAATTTACCTTTTCGGACATTCTGATGTTTTCGTGCCTGAGGTTGCCCTAACAAAGAGAGCTGAAAGCGTGTGTGTGTGTGTGTGTGTGTGTGTGTGTGTGTTTAATAAAATATACAATATATGTAAGTGTGTGAGTGTCACTTATATCGCCCTCTCTTACTCGCTGAGACGAAGGTTTTTACTCTTGTGAACAATAATTTGTAATATTAAATGTACTGTTTAAAACACACTAATATTAGCATTTATTAAAGTATGGGGTATCGTTTGCAATATCCTTTATATGTCAGCTGATTTAGAATAAGGACACTGGAAAATTAAGTACATCAGGATGAAGAAAATAAAACAAGTTTGTTTAGAAGTGAAAATTTAATGTGAAAAGATAGAACAGCTGCCAAATTTGATCTTACATTTTTTCTATTACTACTATACTGCTAAATCTTGATGCTGTTATTCATCTTCTCGTTATGGTTTTCAGTATTCTTATTGTTCTTCTCAGAATGGGATTTGAGGATCAACATGTTCAGTGAGTAAGGACAGAGCCATGTACGGCTGGGTGTGGTGTAACTTGTAAGGTTAGTAAGGAGGCGATTAAGTGTTATGTACAGTACAGTACCAAGCGAGAAGGTGTGTGGAATGAACTACTGCTGTAAGATATTTAAGAGTCACAAGTAGAAAGTGATGGGATAAAGAAAGCAGAGGGGTAATGGGAGTATCGCTAAAGTGAAAGTGCCAGTGACGGATGTTCAAAAAGGCAACTCTCCATAGCCTGTCTCGCTGGTAAACAACGAGTAACCTAACGAACAAAAGAAGAAAGATACAACAAAACACAGGATTTTAGCTCACAGAAAATCTATGCAAATTTACAAAGAACCTGCGTAAGCATCTGTTTTATCCATAATAACTCATCAATAAAAAGGAGTTTGTTTAACACACGCAGTTAGACAAAACGAAAAACACAAACTCTTAGATGTAAAATACTTCCTTTTTTAGTAAACGTGTTATAAACCTTGAAGTTGTATCACTCAGATTAGGGGATATGTAGTTTTAATTGGAGTTAGGAAAAACCTCTCTTTTAGATAAGAAAATTGGAAGAAAGATATTGAGCACGTCTTTCAGGATTGGTTGATGGCCTCAGCTCTTGTTGTCGCTGTACAGACCAAAGAGGATCAGTTCACAGGCGAAGAGGAGAGCAGAGAGAAGCAGACCCAGGGCATAGATGTAGAAGACTCCCTGCAGGTGGTGCAAGGTGAGGCTTAGTTGATTCCCCTCCAACACTACCTCCGTCTCCCCCGAAAACGCTGCAGCTGCCTGCCCGCGGCCCCAGGAATATCACAGGTGAGAATGTTACATCTATGTTATAACTTACAACTGTCCCTTACGCGTATGTTATTATTCACAATCTGTTGGTTCACACCTGTTCCCATACACGTACTGTGGCCCAGTAACAACACAAACCTGCCCTGTCTTGACCCTTCAACCCCCTCACACAGACCCTGTACTCCTTGGTGTGCCCTTACTTACCGTGGCCTTCCTGCGGGTGGCCAGCGTGTGCTCTTCGATCAGTGTAGTCATCCATCTTGTAGTAAAGCCTCCACCCAGCAGCCGCTTGAAGACTTTGTCAAAAATTCTCTGTGAATATGAGATTTACTTCCATAATTTCCATCACAGAGAGAAAATAATTTAGCAAAGCAAAAAAAATTAATTGTGGCTATGTTAACTCTCACCACTTTGACCTTAAGAAACACTGTCTGGAATCAGGACACTAAAGTTTCAGCTTCCTCTGAATCTTGACTTTGACTTTCAAGATATCGTCATTAAATGTTATTTACTAATGACTACAACTAAAATCACGGGGAAATTTATTAAAGGTATAGTGAAGCTTTTTAACTTACCTTGTTCTTAGAATAATTAGTGATAAAGGAAGTAATACAGTTACGGTTTTATTTTCATGATTCTTAATATTATGATTATTCTTATCATTACTTATGTTATTATTTGCACCAAGGGCTTACCTTCATGGGTGATCCCTTTTGTGTAGCGAAGGAGACGTCAGCTGGAAAGAAGCTCTGCTTGGCCAGGTACACCTGTGTGTCTCCGTTCTTGTCAGTGAAGAACATGGCGATGGCGTCCCGCAGGTAAGTTTGCCAAGAGATGAAGGCGAAACGTTCGTCCAGGGTTTGCTGTATGCACTCTACGAGCGAAGGGCAGAACGTCAGCCCCCTGAAGATCTCTTGGTAGAGGGGCACCTGTGGTGCAGACCAGAGTAGGTATTTAAATGGTCCTCAGTAGTAATAGACTGTAATCCTTATAATCTTCATCTTAATCCAAGTTACGCATTATAAATGAAACCCACTATGATTAGAGTTAGCGTTATAGTCGAGACCACCAAAATCCGGGAACAAGACAGAGTCAAAGACCTACTACCGGAAACCGAGATCCGTAGAAACTAACACAGAGATCCACGACAATTCTAGGATTTGAATTTGTGGTACAATGTGTTTTATTATGTAAGGCCGTTTTTAAGACATATGAGGCCCTGGGCAAACATTTGGTGGTGGACCAGTGTTTCGCACCACTGCACCCATGGAGGTATAATAGGGTGGAGGCGGCATCCGCACAGAAGAGTGAGGTCACTCTGAGCTGCCGGCGACCAATTGTGGGTGGCAAAAGAGGCAAGGTCGCGGCCGTGTCCCGCCAGTTAACAGTCACCAGCTCACATGTGCACACGTTTCTCTTAGTGTGTATAACATATAAAAATGCCAGTATCGTGTGCTCTTTATGGATGTACTGGTATGTTCGACAAGGAAATTTAGTTCAACAGTGTTTAACTAAGCTTCATTCCGTATGTGTTACTGTTATATCCCTAACTTTTGACGGAGTAGCATCAAATTTGTCTATAATTAAGCACTTTGGTTGCAGTCTCGAGCATGAGTCTAAAATCATCTTTTCCACACCCAGTGACACAGCAGCCAATTTATGTATTTCTTGATCCTTAGTCACATGTTAAAGCTTGTGAGAAATTCTTTCGGAGATAAGAAAGCCTTCATTGATGGTCATGGTAAGTTTGTGAAATGTGAGTATAATGAACAGATGCACAACCTCGTAGAACGTAAAGGACTTCATTTACGCAATAAACTGAGAATTGCACACATTGCATGGATAGAGAAAAGAATGAATGTGAAATTAACTGCACAGATACTTATTGAATCAGTTAAAAGTCCTTACGCTTTTTATTAAAAAATAAGTGAATTTTAAGATTGTGCAGCTATTATTGATTCCATTAAGATTTCTAATACACTGTTTGACATAATGAACTCAAAATATTTGCATGCCAGTAGCTATAAATGTCCAATTCCCTAAAAACAATGCTGATGAAATCATAGTTTCCGAGAAAAGCAGAAACATGTAACAGATCATTAAAACTCCCTGATGGTCAAGAGCTACTGAAGTCCAATCGTAAAACTGGTTTTATTGGTTTCATATTTTGCATCCGGAGTTTGCAGAGTTTATATGAGAATTTGGCGGTATGTTGTACTCCTGTTTTAAGCTTTTTGTTGACATACAATATGAGTCAAGATCATATTGAATTGTTTTTCGGAAAAATTAGAAGCTTGGGAGGAAGTATAACAACCCCACAGTTGGGCAGTTTTCTCCTGCTTACAAAAAGATCATGGTGCATAATGACATGAATGATATAGTTCGTGGCAACTGTTTACCACTACAAACTGTACCAATACTCACTGTGCTTATCAGCTGTGCAAATAATGTTAGGGCAGACACACTCTCTGTGAATGCTACTAATACCTCTGTTTTGAAACAGATTTATAGATAACGTGGTGTCCGAGTCATCTTTAGGTAATGAGGAGCATGATTATACTTATGTTCCTAGCAGTTTCCATATATATATATATATATATATATATATATATATATATATATATACATATAGCTGGCTTGGTTGTGTTTCGGTTAAAGAAATCTCTACACTGTGAAGCTTGTGTTGATGCCTTAACAAGCAATAATGTTGGCCAGATGCATTCTCTGATTATGTTGAAATCCAAAGGGGGCCGGAGATATCCTTCAGATGATGTTATAGATAGCTGTGTTAATTGTGAAAAAAAAGTTTAGAGTAACCATATCATGCAGAAAAAATACCAATAACTTTAGTTAGCGTAGATTTTCACAGACTTGTTCATTCAGTGTTATTAAGTTACAGTAAAAGAGAAGTATGTTTAATACAGAACCTATGGCAAATCACATACATTTATTGATTAAAGCAGTTGCCGAAAGCTATTTGCAAGTAAGATTTGCATAAGCTGCAAATAGTGGACTGAAAAGTTACAAATTCAAATTTAGGTAAAGAGTCGACAGATATACACAAAGGTCATTCATTTCAGTGGCCAGTAGGATTATGTACTTTATGGACATCGTATTTACACATGTATTTATTGTATTATTTGTATATATTTTTGTGAGTAATAAAGGTTAATGAATTTTCTCACTTGTTTACACTTTAGCAAATGTATTTGTGAATGAACAGTAGGACAATAATTCATGTAGACTAGCAGTACACACGTCGTTAGCTGGTGAGGTGTGGAGGCTGGCAGCGCGGCTGGCTGGCTTCACTCCCAACTGGGCTCTTCACTGCTCACCCCGCCTCCACCCTATTATACCTCCCTGGCTACACCGGCCCTGAACTGACTATGACAACACTTGTTATATGAGCACGGTTGACCCTGACACGCCTCTGTGTACGGTACCAACGACAGTTTGACACTAATCACGGTGTCAGGTGAGGCCCCCATCGGTCTGTGATGACCTGACCACACACTACACGTTACACACACGTTCAGGAAGGCGCCACAGTGGGCCCCTGACGCTGTATTAAGTTACTCACATGAACTGTTTATCATAACATTGGAAACAAATACAAATCATTTGGTAGTCCGCATAAAACATACCTATACTAGTTGGTAAACGCTTCCATGTTTTCATAAAACACTGAATCTCCATCTTTCATGGATTTTAACCCCTCAAAGATATTTGATCACCCGAAAATTAGGCACCGCAGCTTATTTCACCTGATGGCTGAACACCTTAACCTTATCAAACATATCATGATCTAACCTGAGATAATCTAATATAATTTGATGTAAATTTACCCCCCCCCCGCCATCCAGAGTTAGTGTGTTAAATCAACAGGTGAAATAATGTGGGTGCCTAATTTTCAAGATATTACAACATATACTTGTATGAACAGAGACTCTAATTTCATACCCAAAAAAATACATTAAAAACTTGGCTTATGCACATGCACATAAACAAAAGCTAAAATTGCGATTCGTATCGGTCTTGATTTCCAATAACCTCGGTCTCAGATGACATGCCTTGGTCTCAGATATAGTGGTCTCGACGGCATCATTGATATATACGAATACATAATTTCTTGATCTTTTAGTACTTACCTCTCTGTCACACACACAATTCCTTTCATTTTGTCCTGTACATTATATCTAACCCAATTTATGCGAACATTTAATATTAATGTTATTACTTGAAATATCTTTTTAGTATCATAATAATTTATATTTATCATTATTATACACATACCTTGCTGGTCTTAAAGAGCTGGTAGTCAGCAGCGCCAAAGTCATTAATGCCCCACACAAAGTCGGAGTTCACGAGTTCCTCCAAGCTGTCGACGGTCGGGGAAAGGGCCGGAACCGTGAGGAAGGCTGTCAGGTTGCCCACGTAAGACACCGTCACCACCAGGCAGAAGAGAAGCCACGAAGCAGAGTACACCCGCACTGCCGAACTGGACGGCCATCGTCGACCCTGTCCATGAAATCAAGTTAATTTAGTGAAATAAACTACAATAATCTCCACAGACTCGACACACGGGCACCAGTGATCCTGACGTCTCCCGCCCCCCCCATCCGATTCACCGGCTCTCAATTCAGAAGACGTCACTTATCAGCCAATCAACTTCGTGTATAGCAAGTCATCGAGTTTCCATGAAGCCGGCCACCTGCTTAGAAGTCGAAAGTTCTACACACAGGCTGTTGAAGGAGGAAGTCAAAGTCTCAAGCAATCTCTGCCCTCTTCCTTCTTGCATCAACGGCCAGTGTGTAGAACTGTCGATTCTGCATCGTATCAATTACTTTACGGCTAAGTGATCTTTGTGTATTTTACCTCTATCATCTAAATGACCTTTTCAGCTTCATGTGCTACTTTGATGCTTATTTGTCTTACTTATATGATTTTTATTTGCTCATTATGTGACTTACGTGCTCTTGCCAGTGAGCCGTTATCATTACTCCTCATTTATTAGTGATATCAGGTCCGGGACTCTTATTGTTGTTCTTTATGAGCACCATTATACGGGACGACCACAGTGCTCTTATTTTTCCGTCTACTTTTCTAATTTATTTTTTTAAATTCTTGTGCATTTGACTATACCTAGCACAGGAATGGCGTTTTGTCCATGACCCAGCCTATCCTGTTGATGATATTTGTGTGTATATATATATATATATATATATATATATATATATATATATATATATATATATATATATATATATATATATATATATATATAATGTGATCAATTATAAGCAATTAGCTGTTGATGTCTGTTTAACTGCCCTCTTCATATATGATATTTAAGAAATACTGACTATTGCTCTCCTGATACTTAAATCCACTGGGAACACACTACAATTTGTTCACTAGAGGAACTTCTAATTAACATCTTCCATTGATATTTCAGAGAGTATTTATTGAAAGTTATGAGTAAACTTCAAACTGTTGACTAAAGGTTTTTAATACGTGACGGAGGATAATAATGGCAAAGCCTCAAGAGCTACACAGAGTAATTAAATAAAGCCGAATGCGCACTACTTGAACATGGGAAAGTGCAGTCCCACTTTAATTTCTTCCTAAGTTAATTTACTCTACCTCAAGTTAATTTACTCTACCCCACAAACAAAATGAAACCACTATCCATGCTCAAATGCTTATGTATATAGGTAATTAAGCAATGTGTTTGCCTGCCGTATACCAAATCAAAGACACAGGAACTAAAACACTCACACTATCAAAACACCTACAGTTGCCTCCATTTATAAAGGGTACAGGGGCTGGCGTGTTTTGTGAGATGTGGCACTACCGCCCACCAGACAACAGATAGGAGGAGCCAATGATGTTCGAGTTGATAATCTAAATTAAAACTATAACCACGTAGGATATGCATCCATTCACTGATACAGGGAGGATTGCTCATTTAGCATCTTTGGTCTGGGTACTATAGCGAGGATAGTTCTGTCCATTCTGCTAATTTAACTACGCTGTAAGAAAACAGTGGTGCCACATGTTAAGAACACGTGAGCCGCTGCACCCTTCATAAAAGGAGGCAACTGTACATCAACACACACAAATGGCACGCTATTATACACACACACATACACACACCTGAGTGAGCATAGCACCATACATATGGAGGGTGGCCTCTAGGAGGGGCTGGGAGCTCCCCGACAGCTTCTGCAGGAGCCAGTAGGTGGGTCCAGCAGCTGCCAACAACAGCAGGAAGGAGAGCCACACATACGCTTGGTAGGGACGCACCAGAGCCAACCATTGTGGCAGCGGCTACCAACAAGGCAATGTTGACAATATAAACTTAGGAACCTGTATAACCCTTTCTAACTTAACTTACGTTAGTAGTATCATTATCTCTTAGAATATTTAATATTTTCATAAAGCAAAATAATATTATAAAATTTCTTAGTTCTATTTAATCTAACATGGATTTAATAAGATAACAATCATTTACCGTTGAATATTTATGGTTTAAAATAAGAAATGTAAGGAAGGCTTTCGTAGAAGAAGTTTTCATCAAGTTTTAGGTTCGTGGAGGATGATGACGATCTTGTGGTAAACATGAATAATAACCATACACTCACCTTAGGTTTGCTGGTGACGAAGTTAAGAGGTTCCGAAAAGTAGCCAACTGTGCAGTCGGTAACTTCCTCCCTCTCGGCCGTTAAGGATACACCAAACGAGAAGTCCTTCCGGTAGTGCTGTACATCGCCCAACACCCCAGTGAAGCTGCCGTTATCCAGTTGGTAACCCCACATTCCATCAGCTGGCTCATATACCTGTCCACAACAGTAGCAGATGGTACCCCTCAACCCATCAATAGGTCTGCACAATACCAGATGCCAGAGACTTAAGACTAAATTTAAATGAACCTAAAGATGGCGGAAACAATAGAAAACATTCACTAATAGATTAAGTCAATTTGAAGTTGTAGCCATCAGTGGTCAACTGCACTGTAGAATCGTATTTCAATTTCATGGGCATTCCAGTACTATAGTACTTAACACGTTTTCCAATTATATGTGAAAAGTATTTAACAAACCGATTCTGTTCAAACAAGTTTCACCATAAAATCCAATATCCAAAATTCATGATGGCTGTCAAATGGGGACTCCTAATGGCAGTATCGCCAAAATTGTGTTGTCGAGGCTCAACCAGAGATGAATCAAAATAAATTTATCTTAGTTATAATAAATCAACAATATTAACTTATAATATGTTAACAAACGACAAACAAGAAGACCTCTAAGAAGAAAGTTTTATCTCAGCATCACCAGAACCAATAGAGACGTTCATTTAAATTGATCTCAAGATGCTTCAAGATAATGATATTAAGGCACTTTAGAGCTGTCCAACGTCGACTTCTAAGAATGACGGACAGACGGAAAAGCCTTATATTTATAGTTTACTAGCAGAATCGCCGCCCGCTAGGCAACGGTAGAACGCCACCCTCCGAGAAGCTCCACATTGTCTCACTGTTCAGTCCCCAATACTACTTCTTCCATCAATAGTTCATTAACGGTGTATGTAAGTTCCACCATGTTTTTCACTACAACGATACAGCAAAGTATATTTTTTTATTATTAAACTGTTATTATTTTATTGTCTAATCATCACTACATATAACACCACCCATCATCACTACATATAACATCATCCATCATCACTACATATAACACCATCCATCATCACTACATATAACAACATCCATCATCACTACATATATCATCCATCATCACTACATACCATCCATCATCATCACTACATATAACACTATCCATCATCACTACAGATCGGTAACGTAGTTTCCGAGATTCTCGTGCGGACACACAAACAAAAGCACACACACAAACAAAAGCACACACACACACACACACACACAAACAAACAGACATACTTCTTTGTTTTATATATATATATATATATAGATTCATTTGAATGTTGTGTAAAAACATTACTGTGCAAACGAATGATGTACCAGAATTAAACCAGTTAGTGTACAGCCAATCCATAAAGTATCGATACCCCAGGCGTCCGAAAGATTATGAAACCTTGGGTTAAGATAAACCCAACAGATAAATGAACACATTTGAGGTTATCGCTCGTTTTCTCTTCCAACGGACCCTGGGGTCTAGATACTTTTTGGTTATGCTGCACAATGTAATTACAGCTCTACCAACTAGAGAAAATCAAGACCAGGTGATAAGATGGCTTTATTCGTCATGTGATCAACCCTAGAATTGGGAGGCACATTGGGACCTCTCTGTTGGGTCTGTTATGGAATTGCGACAGAGCACCAGAACTCGTCCTGGCCTCCCACAGCGAGGAACAGTCGTCCCAAGACAAAATGGGATGTGAAACCTATTTTGTGATTGAGAGACACTATACTGTACAAAGCAAAAATTCTGTTTTGCAGACTTAGTATTTAGCGCACCCCAATATATAGGACCAAACCAAGTGAAACATTTCATGAAGTGAATTATCTGAGGGCAGTCATAGCATAGTTTTTTTCTCCATTAATTACTACATAGTGTGACATAAAAAGTGTCTTTTGAAACAGATGAAAAATTTCAACAAATACAGGGTTATGTATGATAAATTGAGTATCTAATTGAAAAAAGTGTTCCATTGAATCATGTCTTATTTTATTCACAAATTGGAGGCAATTAATTAAAAACCTAAGAATTATTTTAGTTATTTGTCCTTCACTCATGTACATAATTATTTTTGTGTAATTATGGAGGAAAAGTGAAGGTCTAGTTTCTACAGCAACTGTAATACGATTAACCCTTTAGACGTTTAAAGAGCACTTACGGTACGTATTTTATTCTGACTAACGGCAGAAAGTTTTATTCAGCTGAGAGAAATCCCTGGCCTCTAGAACAGCGGGTCTCAGCCAGAAATAAATTTACCCCAATGGGGTAAAAAATCCCATGGCTTGAGTAAATATACCAATTTCAAAATACTGCGACTTTTAATCCTTTCTCCTTTCACCGAGAAAATCAATTTATCAAATAGATAAAGTGACGAAGGCGAGGCAGTAGCATTGCTCCCATTGGTACTCTTATTGTTGGTGTTTTAAATGTGTTTGATACTGATTGACAAGAATATAATTATATATATATATTTCTTTGATCACAGTATATTATTGCTCATCACTACGATAATAAATGCTGCGCCTTTTATTTATTTATTTATTTTGTGGGGGAAGGGTTAAAATTGCATCGACCATTGATGAGTTGAAATAGCCCAAGGGGTCGGGGTAAATGGCTGGTCATGCCGAGCCCAAAAGGGTAAATGGTGCAAAAAAGGTTATGAATCCCTGCCCTTCTAGAGCAGGGATGATGAGACAGGGAGAGGCAATATTCTCGCCCTTAACACTTCAAAATATGAAATCATTTTGGCTTATGATTACATCAAAGCAACGCGCTCCCCGTCGTCTTCCAAAATAAGGTGATCGACGTCCTGTACCAATTCCAAAGTGCTTCCTGAGGTCAAATTTGGAGATTACAATTATCTCTGTAAAGCCGGGTTCACCAAAGCCGTGAACCTCTCCGTGGAGGACTCAAATCGGAACACGAACTCTCCCTATCCATCTAGAAAGAAATTTTATCAACAAAGACTGCCAGCACCTTTATCCTCCTGCATGGCATCCAACGATCTGCTTTGGAGGAATATCCCACGATACTTTAAACCGTCTGCATGAGTTAACGATCCAATTTTCAAGTAAGCAGCCACCAAGTACCCAAGAAGACACTCACAGACACATTGGGACAATCCCATCGTGTAGAAGATCACCTCGGACATGATTGAGAGAGCATCCTCTGCAGGTAGTGAGTGCCACTTATGTTAAGGACTTCCTATTACCTGCCCTAAATTCCTCCTTGGACACCCCTCAACCTATGGTCCATCCTCGCAGAAACAGCTCTCCATCTTACGGCCGTTATACACACTGTTCATATATTTCTCTGCAGCAACATACAGGTGGGCAGACCAACATGGTAGCTGGAAAGAGAGAGAGAGAGAGAATGTGTGTGTGCGAGTGTGTGTGTCTGTGTGTGTGTGTGTGTGTGTGTGTGTGTGTGTGTGTGTTTGTACTTGTTGTTATTTCTGTATTTGCAGGAAATTAATGTTTTTGAGATGCTCGGAGATGAACCACTAACCACGTAGGTGAAATTGTGAACTCGGGCGACAGCGTCGATGATTCGTTTGTCCAGGCAGTCCTCCATCACCAGTGGATGTGTTGAGTTACCGGACAAGTAGTGGCTCAAGGGAGGGAAACTCAGTGTGACGGCCCTGTAAGGGAGATACCACAACTCATTACCGCTATCACACCAGCCCTATTGTATGGAGACTATCACCTCGGTCCTATTGTACGGAGACACAATCACTTAGGTCCTATTGTACGGAGACACTATCACCTCGGTCCTATTGTACGGAGACACTATCACCTCGGTCCTATTTTCCGGAGACACTATCACCTCGGTCCTATTGTACGGAGACACTCTCACTTCGGTCCTATTGCACGGAGACACTATCATCTGGGTGCTATTGTAAGGAGACACTATCACTTAGGTCCTATTGTCAGGAGACACTATCATCCTCGTCTTACTGTAGGGAGACAATATCATCCTTGTCTTATTGTAGGGAGACACTATCATCCTTGTCTTATTGTAGGAAACACTATCATCCTTGTCTTATTGTAGGGAGACACTATTACCCTTGTCTTATTGTAGGGAGACACTATCATCCTTGTCTTATTGTAGGGAGACACTATCATCCTTGTCTTATTGTAGGGAGACACTATCATCCTTGTCATATTGTAGGAGACACTATCATCCTTGTCTTATCATAGGGAGACACTATCATCCTTGTCTTATCATAGGGAGACACTATCACCCCTGACCTATTGTAGAGACAACATCCCCACCATCGCCTGCCTCACACCATCACGCCGTCATCGTCAGTCTAACATTGCTTTAGCAGCAGCAGTTCATGATGATGATAATGATGATGATGATCGTGAAATTTGCTTGACAGACATCTTTAGTGTCATATACATAAGGAATCAATGTACGCTCTCCATTTCTTATTTATTTTCACACTATGTCTCAGGTCATCACAGGGCACGGCCACCTCAGTATCTGTTGCAGGTCAATTTGGCAAAACCTATCTTAATCCAAGTGCTAGAATTGGATACATTTAGGATTTCTTCTCTTAGAACTAGGACCCATTAAGACGGAAAACTATTATAACTGGGAATCCTCAGCACCCACCTGAAGACGTGGCCGTTACAGTCGCGGAAGAGGTCAGGGAAGAGGTCAGTGTGGTGTTGGAGGCCGCGCCAGGGACTCCACTTGTTCCGCAGGATGACCTCTGGCTCCCCAGACCGACAGAACGGGCAGTTGGCTGTAATGATTACGTCTCATTACCAAAATATTTTTTACATATGAGGAATGAAATATGTTGTTTAAGATAACGTGAGAATGAAAATATTTCAACTCAATTGTGAAATTTTCTAGAGTTGATAGATGTGTGAGATGAACACATGGACAGATGCACATATGGACAGACAAATAATTCACATGGATATCGAAAAATTTAAAACATAGATATATAAATAATTAGACAGTAAATAAATAATTATTATAGACCATTAAACAATTTGGGGGGAACACAGACGGTATGCATTGATTCACTATGTCACTAGTTCATTTTAACAAAAAGTATGTGGGGCTCTGGTAACTAAACCAGTTTAATCAATAATAAACCTGGTGTACAGAACTGCCTAAGCAGCTAAACAATAATTTTCATTCAAGAAAAAGAGCAACAATAAGAAAAGACTGTTGGTAGGAAGGAAGACAGACTACGTACAGAGGAGGTTGAGTGACCACGACCTGTTGTCCTGGGGGTCGTGGTAGGGGTTGTGTGAGACGTAGAGGGTGTTGTAAGAGGCCAGGATAGAGGGTTCCTCCTCCAGGGTGTTGATGGCCAGGCTGCTGCTGCTCCCAGTACAGCAGACGAAGTACCTGGTGGCGCCGGTGAACCAGTCTGTTCATGCCCGGGAGAGGAAGAGAAGCAATTACTGTAAGTCATGAAAGTGTAACGGGGAGTAAGGAAACTGTCTTCTTATAAGGGCAGGAGGTTTGGGGGACGAAATCATTGATGACAAGGACAAGAATAAGGAAGAACTGACCTATCATACAACACAGACAGAGAGGGTGTTAGGTTATTGGAGGCTTTGGTAGATTATGAGTTAGTATATATTAGCATAGGGTTGGATTAGTGTTTGGTTTCGGTTTTTCGGTTATATTAGTTTAGGCATTATAAAGGTGAGTTAGACTTAGGTTGAGTTTACTTTTTGCTTAGGTAACCCCAGACGTGGCGAAGCTAGGCCACGTTAGGGTAAACCACAAGAGGTGGGGTTTTTGTGATGAAAGATGTGAATACAACAGCTCACCTGTCTTAGGAATAGCGGAGAGTGCGGCGGCGAGGAGTGGAAGGGGAGCAAGAACGTAGTAGGCGACGCAGTAGGTACCATCAGACTCTGGGGGTAGGCGTCGGAGTAGCGGAACACCTGGCGGGAAGCTCCTGAGGTAGGTCTCTACATCATATATGAGGAATGCATTGGTCATGGACTGCTGCAGCTGCCGAAAATGAGATTCAATGTGAACTCTTTTATTATTATTATTATCCTCGGAAAATCTTCCCACGCTCCAATATATATATATATATATATATATATATATATATATATATATATATATATATATATATATATATATATATATATATATATATATATATATATATATATATATATATATATATATATTCATAAAATCACACGGGAAGATGGAAACAACGGAGTACCTTAGCTTTCGTCTTTATTCAAGACATCTTCAGAGGCAACTGGATTACATGGACAGAGAGAGGCTTAAATATACAGGGTGACCTAAAAAACATGAGGTCAGGTCAAAATGATGACATCCACTAATCCCCACACCAACACACACGTAGAGGAGCTTAAGAGAAGGGAGGTGACGTGACTAGCCAAGTCAGGTCAGAAAAAAGGGACCCAAAATAACTATCATACATCTAGATCAAAGGTTTTCAAAGCATTTTTAACCTTGGGCCACTGACAAATAAATTTATGTAACATATTATCAGTTTTGAACTGACCATCACTAAGGTTTATTGATTTTAATTCCTTAATCAAACTAGCTTCAACAAGAAGTCTTTCTGTGACACAAGATGATTTGAATACTTCTAAGCTTTTTTCCCAAGCAATGGGGTGATTATTATTCCTAACATGAACAAACAAGGCACTGCTTTCAGATGCAGTTCTGATATTATACTTATGTTGTTTGATTCTGAAGCTGCAGTGTTTTTCCTGTCTGACCTACATAATTACAATTACATTTGCTACATGGAATACAATAAACACTTCCATTACATTCCAAACTATGTTAATGAGAATGTGTGTTTTTGAGATGTAAAATGGAATATTTAATGTGTTTAAATTATATTTTGTTTGAGAAGACTATCTTATCCACGTTTTCATTGGATTTGCATGAAATATATATATATATATATATATATATATATATATATATATATATATATATATATATATATATATTTATTTATATATATATATATATATATAATGGAAGATGGAAAAGTAAGGTACTTACAAATAATTAAAAAAATTATAATAGGAAACAAGAGAATATATATGGAACGTTGACTCTTACACCAAAACCAATGAAGCTTTTGTTTGACTCGATGAAGCATTGTGAGAGATGTAAATAAAACTTCCCCACTGATGTAACGATGGATTAGGAAATTGGAAATTAAAAAGGAACTGGGATTAACACTTAATAAAGCTATTGTGACGTTAATAAGTCAATAATCGGGTTGTGTTTGTTAGAACAGTAATTAGAGTAAAATTCAATTTGTTGATTTTGTTAAAGGAGCCAGTTTTTTAACGACTAAATTAGAATCCTAAAACGAAAAACAAACTGACGCCCGAGTGTTAACAGCCGAAAAACTTATAATAATAATTGAGTTTTATTTAATAATTAAATAAATAAATAAGCTCCTGACGGCTGCGTCTTACCCCGAGAAGTATGGTGTGTAGGCGAGGTGAAGCAGTTATGTTATGTGTGAGGATGATGGGATGGCAGGCAGCGAGACGCCCCCCAGCCACCTCACCCAGGAGACTCACCACGTCCTCCTGCTGCTGGACAAGTGGCCCTGCTGCTGGTGGCTGAGACTGAGTGATACTGAGAGGAACAGCGGCCTGTGTCACTACCATCACCGCCACTACTATTGCTACTCTCCCAAGGGCCTGAAAGTGTTGGTACTCAGTTTAGACTCCCAAAGACTCCTGCGTCACTTCCTCTACTGAGAAACGTGAAGACAATCCTCAAAAGCTACAAGAAAATTTCAAACATATAAATATATGATAACTCGGAATTACATTCCCGACGAATTTTTTAATATTTTAATTTTGTTGTTGATAGGATGATAAAATGTTCCAAGATAAAGTGTCAGTGTAACCGCAGTGATAACTAGGTGTATATATTGTACAATGTACATATACGAGTAAACAGACAGTTAACAGTATAATCTAGAAAAAAATTAAGATTCCGCTACCAGGACTGTCATATATATATATATATATATATATATATATATATATATATATATATATATATATATATATATATATATATATATATATATATATATATATATATAATTTGAATTCCTAGTGGATCTTAAGGCATAGCAAATTTTTATCATGACAGCGAGGTGACTTACCATCATGAACATGGCGAGGCGCTTCTTCCTCCCTATCCTTCAGCAGTGGGTCACAAGCACTGTGACCTTCATCTCATGCCACCTGCTTGTATAATTGTTCAAGTTATATATTTTTCTCGTAGTAGATATAAAAGATATTAATACAAAAAGTTAAATTCTAGACCAGGGCTACCCAACCGATTTTCAAAGAAGCTACTTTTGATTATTTAAATAATTCACGAGTTACTAAAATATAAATTGGAAATATATGAATTGATAAGGGTACATAACAAATTACAGTTCATTTACAATAATACACATTTAAAGTTAAGGAGCATTGATCTTTATCTTTACTTCAGTGTTAAACTCAACATTGCATGTTGTCTACCACTGCTACGTAACACAGTGAGAATAAAAAGAAAAGTGAAAGTGGGTCTCATAGGCGTGACTGCTCGTTAAGCAGTGTGGATACATCACACTGTATACTAGGAGTCAGCATGGCCGTTACTGCACTCGATTACACTCACTTCCCCAAGTTGAAAACCTAGGTACCCATTTACAGCTGGGTGAACTGGGGGTACCCTGGATCGTACCACTGACGTATGGAGCAGGAGGCGAGCACTGTATCGACTCGATCACCATATTCCTCAACCTACACATTACCTTACAAAAAGAGAAAACAATATAAAAGCTGCTACTATAGTATGCATTCCACTGCATACTATAGTAGCACCGAAAAAAGGGTGGACGCCCAACGTTCACTCAGGATGTTATGAAGCGTTCAGATTACCATCAAAATCATCTTGTTTTACTTCTGTGTTACCCACGAGACAAGAATTCATAGAAATAAATAATATTTAGGTGTAAAAAGCGATTTAGTAAAGCGCGCTATGCATGTGATGCATAAGCTCTGTAGTGCTCCTCTGGGGAAGTGTTCAGTCACTCCACCAGAGTCGGTAAACTAACCGGCATTACTCGTCACTGGTAATAATTTCCAACAATACACAGCCGATAAGTCTATCTAAGACTACGCTCAAAGTCGCAAATTTGTTTATTGTTAACATTGAAACTCGGATGTTTTTGTTTGTCTGCATCCATTACTTTGGGCATAACGTTAACGTCGGAGAAGAGGGAAAACAAGTGAACAAGCAGGAGAGCACCTCAGCACTTACAGGCAAGTCCTCCAAACTGTAAATCAATGGAGCAGAAAATATTGTGATCTACTGCTTGTGGCTTTACGAGAAACTGTTAAGTGTTTATCATAAAAAAAATACACCCTAAAAGTTTCATGTTACCTTACAAAAATATCGCTTCGGCCTCTGACCATAAGCACTCAGTAGAAGCAACTCAACAAATTCCATTAGTGCCAATTGTTTTCATTGAAGTACCTGTACTTGGGTAAGTAGACTCTAGTCTTTTGATCAATATGAAGAAAAAACTTCCTGCCAGCTTTAAAACGATTATCACCCAGCATTGTCGATTAATAGTGTCACATTTATTATTTTTCGTTTCTCGGACGAGATACAGCAATTACTTGGTTATTCAGGTGTGCAGCACGCAGGACAGGGGCTGACCCACGGGATACACTCCACCTCCGACAACTACATTTACTCTCACTCAACACTAACACTCACAACCACTGTAAACACCACTGAAAAACACTCATCACTAATTCACAAACTCTAAGGGGAGGAGCAGCACTTACACTTGTGGAGTTCTTGAGCGAGTTGTGTCACAACCACGACCCGCTCCTTACTGTCCCACACACGCAACCAACACATATATTCATAGCCTCACCAACAACACACACGAGTAAGCTCCTCGATGATTGGACACCGCCGTCGGGTACCACAGGCGTGGATTGTGACCAGATAATGTCATTTACAAATTCTTAATATGGATGCGTTGGTGGATGCGTAGCGCAGTACCTCACCGTTGGGAGATGAATTGTTCACGCAGCAAATCCAAGTTTTAAATACCACCCGAGGTGCACCAGCTGTGTGTGTGTGTGCGTGGTATGATGTAACATGGGTGGTGGAAATAATGAATAGTGGATGGTAAAACGTCAATAGTGTGTGATGGTGGTAGATCTGACTTGTGGTGGCTCTCTTTAAAATACTGATTGTGATAATCTATAACGATCAAATTAATTTTTTTTTTTTTTTAGTTAATTGGGCACCACCCCAACATCCTGTGTAAGGTGAAGCGCAGAAACGCTTACAGCGCCCATCTGGGAAGCATGCTAAGTTCATGCTTGCCTTTATGTCTCATGAGTTAAGACGTAGAAGCCTGAAGGGTCATAAGTTTTTTTGTCAAGGGCGTAGAAGCCTGAAGAGTCATAGGTTTTTGTCAGCAAGTTATTGGAAGCTCCAACATCTTTCCCCGAATAAGAATTAGCAACTTTTCAATTTACAACAGGTACCTACTTTACTGCTAGGTGAACAGGGAGCAAGGGGGGCTAGGAAGTGTGTCCAAACAACTTTCCACCAGCCCGGGAATCGAACCCGTGGAATCTCGCTTGCGAGGCAAGAGCGGTACCGCTCTACCACCGGCGCCCCCAAATTATAATTGTGGTCGTGGTATGTTGATAATAAATGGGTGGTAAATAAGAGTGTTTGTGGGTAGTAATAATAGGTAGGTGGTGTTAGTATTAATGGAAAGGTGGTAATAGTAGGGTGGTGGTCATCAATGGATGATGGTACGAGCGGGTAATGGTGCTTGAGGGTAAAGTATAATGGTTATCTATCAGACCAAAGCATCCAGGCCATTAGAATAACATAGACAAAGCAATAACCAGTGGAGCAGGTGTTCACCCAAGAAAGTTGACACACCCTACGGTGACTTAGGTGAGATTAGAACCTGACCCAAAGGAGGTCAAGGTCACAAAGAGAACCAGAATTCTCACTGCCACGCGATTAGATTAACCCGGCGTCATGACCGAGTTAATTCAAGGAACTGCTATCCAGCCAGCACCTCTTTTACCTGACCAAACAGCCGGTCTGGACACACCCAGGTTAGTGTTAATTAAGAGAGGTCATCTGATGACTTTGGATCTCCAATATAAGGGGACTGCTGGACCCGGAGCTGTGAAGACTTGCCTTTTTCTCTGCTGCGTGGTTGAGCAATCTGCAATCTGCAACCATCTTAAACTTAAGCGAACCAATACACGACAAGGTAATGATCAGTATGATCTACGCACATCTGTACAATATCACTGCAACCGGATCATACAATGATGAATTAAGGAAAATTTTTAAATTGAATAGCCTACCAGAGATGATATTCCCAGAGAATCTAGAATCTGAGAAATTATTTCAGGCAACATACTCAAGTGAACTGAAAGAAAGGCTACAGCTAGGAAAAAGGTTTGAGCAATGAGCAACAGCTGATACACAAGAAATACAAGCGACTGATAGAGACCTCAGACAAATGACTAGAAGTGACAGAGAAGACAGAAACAGCAAAAGGACAGTCTACAAGACAAAGGATAAAGAGGAGAGAGGAGAAGATGGAGACTGGTCACAACAGACAACCTCTATCTGATGAAGATATTGGATTAAAAGTGATCACTACACCAACACAGGAGGACAGGTCTCCACTACAACTGCCACAATCCAAGTTTGAGAAATAATGGACAACTGACAAACAGTAAGAACTTTAAGAATAATACAACACAACGTAAGAAACTGGAAGACTGATACAATTAACCAATGTAATATATATCAAGAAATTGACCCTGACATGATACTAATAAACAGTCACGGTGAGACAGACAACAACAGAAAACTCTTTAACTATTATGTAAACCAAAGAAACAAATCGGGCGAGAAAAATGACGGAGTAGCTATAGCGGTTAAAAGAAACTTAAAATATAAACTAATCGATGACTTCCAGGATAAATTTCTAGCAATAAAAATAAATACAACTGAAGGAGACGTAATTATTGCTACTACTTATCTGCCACCGAGACGACCCTACTTACCTATAGAAGACCTATTAAGATTGGTTAACAATAGTCATCCGATGTACATCTTAGGAGACTTTAACGCCAGACACAGGATTTTCGACAATACAAATAATCACACCGTGGGAAACGCCCTTAATCAATTAATAAACCTAGGGAAAATCAATCATATAGGTTCTAACTGGAGAAATCACAATACACAATCGACACCAGACAAAATTTTTACCAACAAAGTCTTTTCAATTACTACTGTATATAAAACTAGGACCTCTTACAGGCAGTGACCATCTACCAATTATACTAACACTGTCAACAAGCCTCATACAGATACTAATAAAAAAAGAGGCTGAAAATGAGCAAAACAAACTGGGAAGGCTACAAAAAAGAATTAGGAAATCACCATTCGATTAATCTACAAAGGAAAACAACAGAAGACATAAGACTCAGAAATTGACAGACTGCACTCAGCAATAAAAACATCTATAACCAAATACACACATATTTCACACTTCAGAACAATAGACTAACAGAAGAAGTTAAATTAATCCAATCCCATTACAATGAAATAAACAGGTATATGGAAAGACACGGCAGTAACAGATGGCTATATACGACGCAGACAGCACTACAGATATAATTAAGAGACGCATGTAAGGAAGCAAACAACAAATAATGGAATGATATTATAATGGCGGCCGACAAGACTAAAGACACAAAAACATTTTGGACTTCCATAAACAAGATGATGGGGCACAACAAGCAAAAAAACACCATACATTAAAGACCATAATGGAACAAATCTGTACGAGGAAAAAGAACAAGGGAATGGGCAAAAGTCTTTAAAATATCAGATGAGGAAGATGAAGATGAAATGGGAAGACACATACATAGAATCACCCCAAAGCAATATATAGACTATAACTTATTACCTAATAATTAAATAATAACTATGGGAGAAATGATGCACTGTCTGAATAAGCTTAAAGAAAAGGCCCCGGTCTCACGGGTATTACACGAAACATGATCATAAATCTACCGGAAAACGTCTTAAAAACATTATTAAATATCTATAACGCATGCTTAATAAAGGGTTACTCTCCAGACAAACTAAAATATGCTAAAATTATATTTATTCCCAAGGAGGGTAAGGACAATAAGGAAATATTAAACTACAGGGCAAATACCGGGAAAATACTGGACAAAAATATAAATTCAAGACTTATAACCTTTTTAACACAACATGGGAAAACAAATAATAGACAACATGTATTTTTGCCCAATAGAAATACCCTAACTGCAATCGCTAAAATAACAGAAATAATGGCAATAGAAAAAAGCAAGGGGAACCAGATCAATATAATTTTAAGGGACTTTTCTAAGGCTTTTGATAAAGGTTGGCATTTGGGCTTAAAATATAAAATATTAAAATTGGGAATTAACGAACACATGCTAAGAATATTGTTTGACTACTTGGATGATAGGAGAGCACAAATTCAATTTGGAAGCTTTATGGGAACTATGCTAAATCTCGAGAGTGGAGTACCTCAAGAAGGATGCCTTTCTCCAACACTATATACAATATATATATCTATATCTACCTGTATATATATCTAGATATATAGATATATATATATATATATATATATATATATATATATATATATATATATATATATATATATATATATATATATATATATATATATATATATGTGTGTGTGTGTGTGCGTGTTTAATAAAATATACAATATATGTAAGTGTGTGAGTGTCACTTAT